TCACCAGTTTCCGTTGGTCCAAGAAATACATACTCTAAAGAGCTGCCGTTCATTTCAATAATGACATGATCACCAGTGTGACCTTGCTTCTGATCAAGTACATTTCCGTTTTCATCAGAAAGTATAACAATTTGAAGTGCCTCCCCGTCCACTAACGTAGTAGCTTCAGTAAGAGTGAATTGTTGACCAGATGGATTTGCATCAGTTATTTCATCAAATCCAGAAGTAACATGGCTTCTATCAGCGCCATTAGAAACACCTTCAGACCAGTTGGTTTGACCGTCGATATTCTGCTGTGTAACGCCTTCGGCAGTGTTTGAAACATCTTGGATATCTTGATCATTTGTGGAAATTAACAGAGTGGAAGTTATAGGTTCACCAGTTGATGTGGGACCCTGAATTTCGTACGAAAATGCCTGTCCATGCATTTCTAAAATGACTTGTTCTCCAGTTTGTCCTTGCTTCTGATCCAAAACTTGACCACGAGAATCCACGATTGTGACAACTTGAACTTGGCCGTTATCCACTACCGCTGTTTGTTCGCTTAAAGTATACTGTTCCACATTTTCCACCAACGAATTAACGTCAGACGCATCAATCTCTCCTGAATTAATTAAGGAGTCACCCACATCGCAGCAAAGGTCAGAAACAGTTGATTTGCATGGCTGTGCGGCCTCATTATTGTCTTTATCGATGACTTCCTCGCTGCTCGATTTATGACGTTCAGGATCATCCAGTTCCGCAGGAACAGAGGTTGAGTGTTCACTAGGCAGATCTGCTTTAGACTGTTCAACTACTTCTAAGTCACTGTCAGCTATTGGAGTAAGAGTTAAGACCTGTTTGCCGTCTTCATCTACAGCATTTTGTAATGTTGCTTGACCAGACAGAATTTTCTTGGCATCCTCTGGTGTAACTAAAGCACATCCCGTAGCGTCGTCATTTTCATCCATAAATACAAGTTTAACAAGATCCTGTCCAGAATCATCACGAATAACTTCAAAGCCATGGGCCACCAATTCGTCAATTAGCTTGGACATGGAGAATCTTGAGTCATTTTCGCTTTGATCTTTAGTCTTCCCCTCATCATACTGCCTTAAACTATACAATTCTTTACTGATTTATGATTGGCATGTAGAATCACAATGTGAACCGACCGAAGATCTTCAAAATAGGATGAAGCAAAGCTCCCTATCACTACTTGGTTTTTAAATGATAGTACACTTATCATCAATCGATAACAAATTGAATAAATTTTCATAAACTCACCTATATAAAGTAAGAAATTATATCTAACCACTTTTATTTGATATTTTACGAATCAATCATTTAGTTAAATAGAAATTCTAGCTGTCTTTATTGGTTACCACAGATTTTGGAAAAGCGTGAAGACATGGTTGTTTATTTCTTTAACAAGAGTAAGTTCACATTAATGTATCTGTACATTTAATATGACGTGGTCAATCAATTATGTTACATAAAATATCTCAGTAATTATATACGACTAAATTGAGTAGACTTCAATATTGATTTTATTTTAGGTGAGTTCACTATGTATAAAGCTTGTGTGCGGGTACATAACAAAAAAAGACTTAATGATATGTAATGAGATTTATTGAATTCTTGTAGTCTACGAAGAGTTCAAATTATCTTCATGCAGATGTGTTTCTATGGTATTGTGAACCTGCTCTGCTATGTAAAGTGTGACTTACGAACGTAAACTCAATGGATTTTGTCAATTTAATAAATAAATAATGAAAGCTGTTAACTTCTTTTAGTTGTCCTTAGGGTTTTTTTTACCGTATAGATTGTTATTGAGCACCTTAATGCGTAAACATTCAGTGTTTTATAGTTCTGTATATGAAAACTAATTATTTTAAATTGCCATTAAACAGAAGATAGAAAAAAGTTATGGATATAAAGTTTTGAAAAGTTTCAAAGTGAAAAAAATTCTAAACTGTTTTAAATGTTCAATAACGGTTCAGTTGATTATGATTATATTTAATGAGTACTTACATGGTAAAATTTATCATGTAGCATCCTTATTTCTGATTGTTAGTATTATAAGTTGAATCATTAGAAACTACTGTCGGATATTCATGATACAACCCCATTTGGTCATGACTATAATAACAAATTTGCGTTGCACTGCCACCGTCGTTAAGATACTATCTTAGTTTCCCACTCTACACTCCAGCCGTGTGCCATAACCTAAAAATATGGTAGTGTGAACTAACCAATGGCTAATCTCGTCTTCATAGTTTTGACATCAGTAACAATTATTCCTTTGCCAATGTGGTGCTCTACATATTTTATTAGGTCATCAGGAGACAATGACTGCAAAATACCAGGTCTTAAGTTATCTTTCTCCTCAGACGACAGTTTCTTAATCCATAAGCCACAAACCATCCATGAACTGCTACATGAATGATTGTGAATCTTCTTGAAAAACTTGATGAGGTACCTACCATGGTTCAAGGATACACGAAACCTAGACTGGCAGTTTAAGAACTTCGACCTATATAATAACCTATAATTTAGTCTTAATGGTTTATTAACGATTCATCTCCCTTGAAGCTTTCGCTTCGTACCAAATATACATTTTTAATACGATTAACATGCACTTCCTTCTCATACCCCAATTACCATAGTGAGTGTCCGTAGTCTAAAATGCCATAGGACTATGCCTGTCCTCTGTGTTTTGTTTCACTATATGCAATTTGAGAATCATCCCAGACCAAATAACGTTTGTTTATTACAATCCACCTAAACTGTTCACTTATATCGAACAAACTATTCCTCGAACTGGAAATTTGACTAGTCTGATGTACATTATTCTCCAGTTTCGTAAAAATATTAATATGACTGAAGTATCCAGTATTAAGTATTATTATATTTGGTGGTAATACGTTATTTTTTGAATCTAATATGATTTTCAATGAAACGGGTATAATGACAGCTTTCCAATGGACCGTTACACAACAACAAAGAATCCAATGATTACAATAGGAAAAAAGAAAATATCTATCCTTTCTGTTTCCATTTGAAACGACTTGATGACAGTAAATTTGGAATGTTTCTACTAGTCGATCATGTCAAATTATTGCTGAATTCATAGCAGACACCGACTGGAGACCGATAACAGAAGTTATTCAAGATAATAATAATAATAAAACTTTAGCTTCTATAGCTTTTAGCTTATGACATCTCAGTAAAAAGTGGAAACGTCTGAAAGTCAATCTCTAATTCTAAATTAAGTTGGAAATTTGGAGTAAGGCTCGACAACTGGTGCGACAGAAACAAAGATCTATTCAAGTTCAGTTCACTGAGCCAGCAAATATTTAAAAAGTTTGTCGCTGCCTTAGGAAATTGAGTCCAAATGAATATGTTGAGCACCACAATTTATCTTGCCAAGAACATTTGGTTTTGTTTGGGAATAGTTGTCAAATTCAGTATTAGTTTCGGTTTTTCGAAATTATTCAAACATGATAATTTCCTTCCCGCCCAAATGATTTTACTAATGTTATTTTGTCAAATCCAATTCATTTCAAATGCTTTATGTTGATATGGGGTATACGGTTACTAGTTGTTCCTGAAGTTTGCAATCGAAGCTTATGTTTTATAAGATAAGCTTCATCATTAATTATTTCATACGTGATAGCTAAATATCAGCGTGCGTTTAGCTTAAAGCATGGTAAGGAATCAATCAACATTAAGCCAAATGTCGAAACTCCAACCTCAATTCAACCTATCAAAATTATTCTAACCTTGTTTTTTACTCAGCTAAGGAAATTAAAGTATCTTTACTAGTTACGTCGTGATTAGTATTTTAATCAGAGTTGTTTGCATACGACTCACAAATTCAGTAAATATGAATGACGGAACTGTAGAAAATGAATTGGCAAGAAGAGTAACCCCGTTAGTCAGTTCCAAATAAATTTATCTTTCCTGTCAGTGTGAATAACTCGAATCTTTTCAATCAGAAGTGTTACGAAGAAGGAAAAAAGAGTCTTCAAGTTGACCTCTCATAGTAGACCTATTTAAATCTAACCAATCATGACAAACAGATAATCAAATTTATTGACAGAGAAACAAATGCAGTCGAACATTCATGTTTAGTAATTGATTTCATGAGACTGAGTAAAAATTCTTTTCAAGAAAGTGTTTTGTACTCGATCTGATATTTCTCTAAAAGTATGATCAGTCATGTTATTTGACATATCTTGAGAACTGTATAAGTTCAAATCATAAACCTGAGGAAAAATTACAAAGAACTACTTCATCAAAATCAGTATATATATATATATATATATATATATATATATATATATATATATATATATATATATGCCAAGAATAGTAGATTTATGCCTCACTGGTGAGTTTTCATCTACGGATAAAGTACAAGTTACAAATTAAATGTCAATCAGTCAATTACCTTAATTTCGACAGTTAGATTAGTATCTGTTAGGTAGTCGGAAAAATAGACCAATAATTATGGTGTTAAGTCCAATGGTGTCCTTGGACCTTAAATGTACATTTCCCATTGGTCGATATTTATTTAACGTGTTATTTTCCTGTTGGCCAATATTGTACAATGTTATTTTCTACTTTGTGGTACGATGTGGTTTGTTTGCTTGGTATATAAATAGTGTATGTTTGAAATATAATGATTCATAACTCCGAGGCTGTGACTTTTGTTCTTGACTCAACTGGCTGGGGACAGATAGCGAGGCAGGGCCAATCAGGGCACTAGGTCATCCTTACAAGTTTACGGGTCACTGTCACAGAAGCGATCGATATAACGCTGCGTATCCAAACCCTGCACACACACCCGTTACAACAATTGGCGACGGGGTAGAGAAAATTTTGAACCCTGTAATTGGACGAGATTCATCCTATTTATTTTGGCCAATCAGCATTCAGATTGATCGTCAGCGTCCTTGGGAGTCATTGGTTGTTAATTGATTACAGTATTTCTCATTACTCTGCTGATTCAGAAAATGACTATCCCCTCAGGTCAATTGCAGATACTACTAGATCGTTACAGAGAGAGCCAGTTGAAAGTTTTGGACTACATGCGCACGCGACTGCTAAATCTCCCGTGTTTCGGAGATGTGAAAGAGGTTGACGAATTAATTTCTCACCTGCATACTGAACTCGAGAATGACTGCAGGACATATGAAGATGAAAACAAAAGCCTCTATGAATCCCTTATGATCAGTAGTGCAAATGAGGCAGTCGCTCATAATCCGTCCAGCGATCCAGAAGTGCCCAATTCAGAAGCATGCCCTGTTGTGGGTTCAAATCCCACTGTGCCTGAAACATGTGAGGTATCCAACTTACAAGAAGAACCCCTCGTGCCAGAAAATGTTTCCCGTGCATCAAATAATGGTCAGAAATCCACTACGAATTTCAAAGATGCTGTTTATATTGGTGACCTATTACCCACTGATGGAGTTTTGAAGAGGTCTGAAGAATATGTTGCACAAGAATCAAACCTTAATGACCTCATGTCTGGTGTCGCTAATCCTCATCTAGTCAGTTTTAGTGAACCCTCTACTCAATGTGCGAAATATGCTTTAAATAGGATCAGACTGATTGTTGCTTGGGTATATGAGGACCCAACGTTATTTCGCGGGGGAGGACGGACGCAGAAAATTTTAAAACGCAGATATGAACTCCACATCTTTCGAAAAAGGGGAGGTGTTAGGTAGTCGGAAAAATAGACCAATAATTATGGTGTTAAGTCCAATGGTGTCCTTGGACCTTAAATGTACATTTCCCATTGGTCGATATTTATTTAACGTGTTATTTTCCTGTTGGCCAATATTGTACAATGTTATTTTCTACTTTGTGGTACGATGTGGTTTGTTTGCTTGGTATATAAATAGTGTATGTTTGAAATATAATGATTCATAACTCCGAGGCTGTGACTTTTGTTCTTGACTCAACTGGCTGGGGACAGATAGCGAGGCAGGGCCAATCAGGGCACTAGGTCATCCTTACAAGTTTACGGGTCACTGTCACAGAAGCGATCGATATAACGCTGCGTATTTAAACCTGCAGTCACTCACACGTTACAACAGTATCATAAGGGAAATTGAGTGACCAATAATTTTTGATTAATCAAACTGAGTACTTTTTAAATTGGATAGATTGAAACCTAATTTGTGTTTTTTTTAAAGACAACAATAAAAAAATTATACGTGAACTCATTAAAGTCATACGCTACATGCTGATCATTAGATTTGATCAACTTTATAATTGGTGATCACTTGATTTTAATCAATACATTTGTTTTAGTTGCAGGAAGATAATCCTAAATATGTCTAAGTAGTTCGATGCCAAAACTATAGAGAATTTAAATTCACCCGATTGCACAAACAAGTGGTTATCAGGTGTCAGTAGCTAAGGGGATAACGCGATGGCGTTTGAAGCGAACGGTACTGGTTTCGAGTCCCAGAGTGGACATCGACATTGAGATACAGGTACATCCAGCTGACGAGTCCAAAAATAGGACGGAATGTATGTCCTGGATTCCACTGCCAGTCACTATCCATCTTTACTTATATATAGAATTTATTTTAAGAGTAGTTAGTTTTTATTACTTAGACAAAAAAGACTGACATGCTGAGGTGTTCGCTCTCCATCCTAGTTTTAAACTTGAAACTCATGAAGCACACATTTTTCCTTTTATTTCATTTGTTGTTTTGGAATTTAACTTTGTATATTTGTATTGTTTTTGCACATTTAAAATACTATTGCTTTGACAACTTTTATTCATTTTTTCTCATTGGGGTGGTGCTGTGAAATATAAAAACTTTTCCTGACTGACATTTGTTTCAAGTTATGTATTGTTTGTAATTAATTGACTCATAGATTAATGTTCAGTACGATATTAGTTAAGTTGACGGTGTAAACGTCACATGAAAGAACGTTTTTCTACAAATTTGATAGACTAAAGCTTCCGTGAACTAGTGTCATTAACGGGACATAAGATTTGTCTATCTGTTTATAAAGGTTCAAGTAAACTGCTCAATAGTTCGTTCCATACTGATATATTGTAGTAAAAACTAGCCTCTGTAGGTAGGTTTATGTAGCTTACAAGCACTTAATCATAGATGTCCAGTATACGGTGTGACGGTCAACGAGGTTGAGAACCATTATCGAATTAGGCGTTGGGGTTGTGCTTCATTTACCCAGTCAGAAAGTGCAGTTTCCTGTTGGGGTCGGTGAGGTAACTGTATAACTTATAATATGATTCTACTCAAAATCGGTTGCGGCAATGTAAATGCAGTAACTCTTCGCCACTTTAAGTCATGAGTTTTAATGTTATTCCATTCTTTTCAATACAGATCTGATTCATTCTCTTTGAACTACACTCCTCATGTTCAATTTATTACTATTAATTATGTTATTATTTTAAATCATCTACTTTGCATCTTGTCAATTTTCTTCTCCCTGTGATGTAAACGGTGGTAACTTATTTTGATGCAAGTTATTACCAGGTTATATATTGGCTTTGATCGATAATAGGGCGAAACAATTCAGTTTGGTTGTACAGCATAAAACTAATTACAACTGTAGTTAGTTATACCTAGTATAACAGTTAATCAATACAATATTGTGTTTATATTTTCCAGTGTAACATTATTTCAGGTCAATATGTTTTGTATCAGTTGAGTGTGAATTTCGTTTAGCATGACGAATGAACTTTTTCCATCCAGTGTGAATTATATTTTTCGCATTATTCTTTGTGAACTTCGTATGTGTATCTTTACAGTGACGTGATTTCTAATACCTAATCATTGAATGTGTGCAAAACCAGTATGTAAATGAGTAATAAACCTTCATTGTGTTCTCACTTCGCAGCGTGGGAATTACAGTGGCTTCTGTTTCTAAATATAAGCAGTAGGACAGAGTATATTATAACGGATAAATAACTTTGTTTCCCATTATACCAAGCAACCTCATAAACCTTTAGGCTGATTTAAATGGTAAATTTTTAAACATGCTTACAATCTATGCACATACCATAAGGCAATTCCATCATATTTGGTTAGTACTCTACCAAGACCGTGATTGATTCTAGACCACAGATAGTCATTAAATGACATGGAAAAATACAACCAAAATTTATATTTTATAGTTCTAAGCCGGTCATGCGAATACTTTATCAAATACAAAAATGACGTAAACCTAGCTACGTTTGAAACAAACTATAGAAGTTAAATAAGTAACATGAACAATTGTATTATTCAATAAGTAGATCTACTTCAAATTCCGCATGATCAACCTGAAAGCTATGTCACCTCTAAAGCGGTGGCTTCGAGTTTAAAGCAAGTGGTGCATAACCATTAAATTTTAGGCTCTAACCTTGATCCACCGACATAAATTTAAGCAGCCGGATAGTATCAATGACCCCTACATAAACTGTGGCATAAAACTGAGGATATAGACCTGTACTTGGTAAATAAGTTAAGAATGCTTAACTTGTAGACCACTGAAACATCATCCAAAGGTGTTAATATCAAAATTCAATCAATCCATTATCTAACGCAACGCTTTATCCATTGTTTGAATAAATTCTAGAAAACCAGAGAATATTTAATATGGTTTTGTTCCAGTTTGAAATATCATTGTTAACTATCTAGTGTGTTATAACTTTGAGCAGCTTTTTTGTAGTTTATATCAACTCCTACATAATGTAACAGCTGAATTTATGAATCAATCAAAGCTAGATCACTATGGAAAACCTGGAAGCACAGAACGGCCGTTTCGTCCTATTGTGAGACTCTTCAGCAGTGAATATAATTTACTTAATTCAATCGTTATCAATTAGAAAATCTCTGAAAAAACAACAAGATTTTAACCAACTGTTTCAATGTTATTACTTTTGGGGTTATGATTGTGTTAATTGTATGTCTTTACCTAATCAATCATTGAAAACAGGAAACAATGGATAGATATTCTATCATTGTTGTCTCCACAACTGTGTTTGAAGGATACTTTGATGATCCTGTACCTATGAAATTTTCATCCTATATTTTCTGCAATTTTTGGAGAGCATTAGTGCAACTCCTTGTGTGGGAGACATTTTATTCTTGATGACCAGAGTACAGTGGGACTTCTCCTGAAGCTAATCTCTCCTGTCTAGCTTGGGTCCAACGGGTTTGATTTATTCCAAGTACCACCAAGATCTCATTTCCGCATCTATTTGGTTGGTCCTCCCAGTCTCCTACACTGTCCGTACATTCAATTTACCTGTATTAATTACTTCTCTGGTTGTTAGAATATATCTACAATATTATACAATTAATGGTGTATAACCAAAAAATATAACTAATGTAATTCTTCTACCATAGGATGCGATTACATGTCATAGATGGCTGGGAAAAAAAAGCCGATTTCGTGGGTCAATGACAGTCTAGTCAATTAAATCCTTTCTCAGCAGATCAGTACTACCTGGTGTCATATTGTCTATTTTAAGTTGCTAGATATGAGTGAAGCAATCATGACTCCAAGAACCAAGTTATAGATCATTATTATTATATATGTTCTTCGTATATAATTAATAAATTGCTAGATTATGTTTATGTATTCCGTTTATCATAAGCTTCCGGTTAACCCATGAACTTCTATTCCTAATTTGTTCCCAGTCTTTTGCTCATAGTCTCCCTTATTCACAAACACTTTAGGCTTGCTTATGTATGATTGTTATTTTTAATTTTGTGTGATACGGACGATGTGTCTGTAAATAAACCGTTTGCTTGAAATGTAGATGTAGTAAACTCTGGTTGCTGACTTTTGGACTCAAGGGGATAAAGAGAAGTTTGCTGATAACGGACCAATAAGAACTTAGCTGCGTCCGTTGAAGTTTAGTGGTGCTGGTCAGGTGTTTAAGTACCCTATTCATGGACACTAGGCTACAGAGAAAATAGTAGATGCGAAATGGACAAAAATTAAGATTTTGACTGGTGACTTAGGGTGTGATATTAGTGCAACTTATTTATTTATATATTTATTTGAACACATAAATATTGGTACAAGAGGGCACTAAATATATATGCGCCACACAAAATATTGAGAATTCGAAGAGAGAAAAAAAGAACATTAACGAACAGATTAGTGTAAGGAAGTGTAATAATAATAATAATAATAATAATAATAATAATAATAATGAGGGAAACGGGAAGGTACAACCAGAAGAATTCTTCCAGTTAAGGAAGAAACAACCATTTTTTATGAAGAAAGTAAAAGAAGGTTACAGCAGGATCGCCACTGGCTTTTATTCTGAGCCATATCTGATAACGCCTCTAGCCAATGTGTTGTGACTACCTCATTCTAAAGTTAATCTCTAAATGAATTACTTTGCAAGTACATTTTAGACTCACGGATAGTTTGTTGCAATCTGTCCGTGAAGTACAGTCAACACCATCATTTGTTCGCTACATCGATGAACACCTCTTCTCTGAAATTGCCTTGAAAATAATTACCTGTGACTATGTCCAAATCCACCAATTAATTTATAGAGATATTAAATACTTAACCATTATTATTATTGAACATACTTACCGGAGTTCTCTTCTTGCAAGTATTTTACTTCCACAATCCCTAGTTAATTCGATCAATTTGCATGAAACCTACGCAAATCAGTAGTTCATAAAATAACTTGGGATATGTATAACTGCAGATTTATCATAATATTTTACTATTTTTTCCGTGATTTCTGTTTTTCTTTTCTTGGTGATGATTAAAACTATTCCGTAAGGGAGCTAGAATTGACTGTCGATACAATATTCATACTTCAACAGGATATGTCTCAGTCCTCTCAACAGCTGCTTTACATTATTATAATTCTCGTCATAAATTTTCTTTCAAAACAATGTATTACAATATTTTCAGAACCAATTTAATCCTAAATAAGTATACTTTACAAGCAACATTGCTACCTATATCAACTTGATTGCATTTTTAAATTAAGATGCCTTCTGTAATTATTTCCAGAGTATAACTTATCTACCTCATTTATCTAGGTAAGCTAATGAATGTGTGAGCTAATTAAATGTAAACTTTCTACCCACCATCTCAAATTCTACCATACATCTCATGTAACGATTTAGCAGAAAACTTAAGGTTTCATCAGAGAAATCCTTTTTCTGTAATGATTGAATACTTTTAAAATCAAACCAAAAAAGAAAATAAAGGGAAGATGTTATTCGATCAACTGACTTCACTTCTAATTCCAATCCATAAAAAGAATATAATTGAAATGACATTTTATTGGGATTGGTTATTTCACATGTTTAGACGTGAGATTTACATTGGATAAACCAAAGCTCATCCGAATGTTACTCGTGTATGCAGTTTAAAAATTATATTTTAATTACTACATGTTGGTGATTTCACTACAAAGTCTTTTTATAAGTACTTTATGTTAACTGTATGAGGGATAAGTTATCGTGTTAAATCAATTCAATCTGCACACATACTTTAATTTGCTTTTGGAAAAACTAGATACGGGTAATTTATTAAGGAATACCCACTATTACGTTTTAGGTGTCATTTAAGTATGTTCTATGAAAAAAGAACACAGCCATGATGACTCGCTTATTTACCAGTAAATACATATTAATTGAGGTCAAATATATTTGGTATGTATAGAAATGGTGTATATAAGTTGATTATGACCAGATAATCCTTTTACTTAATAATATTGTTATACCCATCTAAAATTACAAAATTTATTTATTCTATTCACATTTTACTGTTAGTGATTAAAATCTCTTTGTTATTTCACGTTAACTATAGTCCTTTACTCAACTACATTAAATGATTACATTGTAATCAAAAATAATGCTTTAATAATTTTCTACCTTTAATCTCTTATTATTATTATTACCATTTTTATTCAAGCTGATGATCTATGTATTTTTATTCCAAAGTGTTTATTAAAGCAAACTTGACGGATCCCACTACTTTTTAACATTTACAAATACACATATTTCGTTACATAAATACAGTTTACACTGAAATTTCACTCATTTATCGGGTACAGATTAGTGTACTTGCTGTCGGGGCACATAGTCTGAGTGTAAGGGCTAGTGATACCACACAATTCCTTAAACCAAAGTGGAGCAATGCTTGAGCCTTGGATTTATTGCCTGGGAGCTGAACCCCTTAACGACAGAGACACTGCTCCCCCACTCATACTTTTGATAGCGATTAAAATAACGTATTAATTTCTAAAAAAAGGAAAAACAATTAGGGTAATATAAGATCATGTAGATAGATATTCCCAGTTAATGCGATTCACAAAATCCATTTTAAGAAAATTTGAAGCATAACAAAGCAATAATAACTATATTTTCTTTGAATTCTTCTCATTATTGAGAGATAAATATCTGATAAGATTAAAGTAAAACCACTGAAAATTGTGGGAAATGATTTTTTAAACTGAGTCTGAAAATACCTTTGATTCAATAGTTTTCAATCAAATGTAATATCTAATATACAAATAAAAAAGAAGAAAATACTCCACATGAGGAACGGCGAAAGACAGGTATTGTGTGTACATAAAAGGTTAGTAATGTTGTTTTCTGCACAGAAATACGGAAAAAATTGAACAATCTCTAACCTCAATAATATGTATGATGAAATGTACATAGTGTGAGTATTATTTTGATCGAATATTTAATTCAGGAAGAAATGAAGTAGATACATTTGGACACATTTGGAATTTCATCGTATGTAATATGATTCATTAACTATCTTCATCCATTTGAGTCTATTGTAAAAACAGTAGTATTAAAGAAAAAAGTGATATTCCACTGCTGTAAACCGTTGACAAATATTCATAATACATAAAATTCAGAAAACTATTGGAAAACAATATGATTACATATCGAAAGCTAAACCATTCGATAAAATTTCGAAGAATCTTACCTGTTAGAGTCAAAAGACACGAATTGTTTATTTAAAAGGATCAGTTAATAGATATAATGTTGATCTGTACATAATGAAATGAAATAGAAAAGCCTAACAAGAATAAGATCGTTATCTTTTTTTCCAACAGCTACTTATCATTATTATATGAAGAGATTGGTGTTCTCCAACCATTGATATTCAGAATTGCATTTGATTATTATTTGGTGGAATATTTATACTTTGAGCAAATGCTTCGATACTATCGATAGATATAAGTTCTAATTTTTTTGGATTGTGGCTAGTAGTTGGATTAAAAACACGTCTTTCATTAATGTTAACAGTGAAACTTATATTCAGTAACTATCGCTTTATATTCCACAAACTGATATAATCTCATCTTAATTTAGATAGTTGAATCCAAAAACGTGAGCCTATTTTCCAGTAGAGGGAAGTGATAGTCTGGGTGAACACATAGATACCACGTATGTGCTTACACGAGTTCTCTAAGTCAAATGTTAGATGAGAGATAATAAACAAGGTGAAATACTGCATGAAGTCAATTATTCATCTTTTTAAGATCTTAGACCAACGTAACACAAACATACTAAAATATGTAACTACAGTTAGTATTGTAGTATTCTAACAGCGTGTGCACATTCCAATAAAGTCAGATCAAATGGAGTTCGGGAAAATACAAAATAACGAGTAAATACCATGTGGCTATTTGGACTCAGTTACATAGTGGGTATATCTTTGGTATTCGAAGTGATAAGTAATAGGTTCGAATCCCGATACTAACACAACAACACTAGAATCCACGTACATACAACCGACTGGTCCTAAATAGGATGAAACGGACCTTTTGAATCTCAGTGCTAGCCGCAATTTCAAAATATAGTATGACTGACTGTAATGTTAATCAAGGAAAAACCATGTACTATGACAAAAATAGATAGGACTTTATAAGTAGATTGATACTAGCTTAAATGACCAATAGGATGCACTAAGCATACCAATATGGTCGGTAATAAAAACCCACTAGTCAGTGGATACAGTTTCTATCATGAAAAGGATGAATAGAAACTGGAAAGGATTTGCCAGGACACAGTTCGATGAAGAATGCTGGTGAGCGGCCAATGCTCCTCTATGGGGGGTAACAGAAGTAAGTATTACATCAGTTTTTCTATTAGTTTTTTATACGAGTGAATGATAAATGTGCTAACAATATGCAAATGCAGCAACACGCGACTTACTGCTGTAACGTACAAATTAGGTGAGTTTTTTTAATCATATTATAATTTTATAGAGAATCAAAAATTTTATAACTACCATACTCGTTAAACTGAATTAGTGTGACACGGAAAAATTTGTATTACAGCAGCATATAGATCTTATCTTAAATAAGTATCAGTTGTTAAACATTAATCCAACACAACAAAAGCTGGCAAAAGCCTATGGATTAAAAGTATATAAAAGCCTTGAACCCAGCTTGAGTCGGTATTTAGTCATAATGGTAGGTGCACTTAACTTATTTATATCAATCCCTTTTAAAAAGATTTATGTGTTAGCTACTTATTATCCAACCTGAAACTAAAGAGTCCACTTGGCACCAAAATATCTGTTGGGCGTGCTCTATTGAAAAGATCATCAGACTGATAATAGAATTCATCATTTAATACATCCGGGCTGCGATTCTTCAACGCGTATTTGGACGTTTCAGAAACATTGCCTCCATACCTGTTTCTCTTGAATCTTGTAGAGGCTCCAAACAGTGAATATTAACAGTAAACCAGTCTATTATTAAAAGACTAATATTTAAACGCAGAATATTCTTTTCGATAAATTCTCTTCAGGTTCTATAGTTGTATATCCAAATTAATAATCTGAAAAATGGCCAGGATAAGAGTAATATGCATGGGGTGACCGAGAAAATAATGGAATAAAAGTCAAAAATTACGTAATATGTAGTACAATATGAATTAGGTCAGATATTGTAGATAGTGGTGGATGCTAAATAGATTTTTCAAAACGATTATCAAGTGTAATAATAATAATAACACTTATAAAGATAATAATAATAAGTTTGGGGCATAAAAATGATCATTAATCAAATTACGTCATCATATGATAAAATTGATTATTAACTAGTTAGCCAGGGTAAAAGGAGCGGCTGAACATATTTCTTTTGGATGCCAATTTTATGGATCATTAAGTTGGATTTATAATTGTTTAACCTTGTGAGAAATTATTGAAAAGAATATTCTTCTTTCATACAATTGTGCTTTAATATAATGGGAATTTCGCAGTGATTAAAATTTTATCAGAAGGGGTTTTGTGGAGATTTTAGTAATTTTAATAGTTGAAATCACGAGTCAATAGCAGCTAGGCATTTCCTGTAGTTTTAGTGAGAAGCCCTGACCAATGGAGTTCAACCAGGTCTGTTGTGAGATATCAGCTCACTGAAGACAATGGTAGACGGTGGCGCAATATCGTGGATTAGTTGTAGTTAGACATTAACACCGTTGGATGCCGGCCGGCCCAGTGGTCTACTAGTCAAGCGCTCGCGTGCGAGACTGATAGGTCCTGGGTTCGAATCTTTCAGGAGGCGGGATCGTGGATGCGCACTGCTGAGGAACCCCATACTGGGACGAAACGGCCGTCCAGTGCTTCCCGGTTTTCCATGGTGGTTTAGCTTCAATTGACTCATGATTTCAACTATTAAAAATTTTCATTCTATTCTGTTTGACAATCCTAAATTCACATGCTTTAAACGGTGCATATTACTCTTATCCTGGCCATTTTTCAGATTATTAATTTGGATATACAACTATAGAACCTGAAGAGAATTTATCGAAAAGAATATTCTGCGTTTAAATATTAGTCTTTTAATAATAGACTGGTTTACTGTTAATATTCACTGTTTGGAGCCTCTATAAGATTCAAGAGAAACAGGTATGGAGGCAATGTTTCTGAAACGTCCAAATACGCGTTGAAGAATCGCAGCCCGGATGTATTAAATGATGAATTCTATTATCAGTCTGATGATCTTTTCAATAGAGCACGCCCAACAGATATTTTGGTGCCAAGTGGACTCTTTAGTTTCAGGTTGGATAATAAGTAGCTAACACATAAATCTTTTTAAAAGGGATTGATATAAATAAGTTAAGTGCACCTACCATTATGACTAAATACCGACTCAAGCTGGGTTCAAGGCTTTTATATACTTTTAAACCATAGGCTTTTGCCATACTTCGTAGAGCGTGCGAAACTCTTAAATGGCTGATTTGTGAGTAGACCAGTTTGCGTTTAGGTTAAGGATGCGTTGACCACGTCTTCAACCTGCACCAAATACTTGAACACGGAAACACTTGTTGGAAATCAAAAATCGTTGTGTTCCTTGATGTCACGGCCGTCAGTGATTCGATGAACAGGACTGTAAAGTGTTCGTTGAAGAAAAGTTTGCCTCTGACACTTATCAAAATTTTGAAGACTCTGTACGAACACCTATTAGTCAAAGGGCATACAATCAGACCCTCTATATTTACTCTTTTTTGTTGTTGTCGCTATTACATTATTTTTACGGTTTTGCTACTTATCTTGTTCGTTTCATCTCATAACGGTAATACAGTATGACACATTGGGGCAACATACATATGTATCAGATTACAACTAACTGGCTGTTTTTGTGCGACTTGGGCCTTCCCTGTTGATTATGTTTGGGGAATCTGTGTTTAATCATCATTGCTTCTGAAAAATTATTTGTGACTTGTGGCAAAACCGCGTAAATGATCCAAGGTCTGGCAATATGTGTTCGAACGCATGATCCTCGGTGGCTTGAACGAACGTCGTTTCAGCGATTTTCACACCACGCACTATTTGGAGACGGCAGAACTGAACGAAACGTTGTAGAGGGGGGTCATTTTATGATAATGAGTCATGATGAGAAAGGTAGCTGTATAAGAATTCCATATACTGGTCTACCGTAATTCCCTAATTAGGTAACTAGGGATCATACAACTCACCGATTTGAAACGTTACCAAACGGCTCAGAAAGAGAACGGTGACAATCAAGTTTTAGTTTTCTATCACACTCTTCATATGAACAAGATAAACCTCCTTATATGTAGAAAAATGGTAATATTTTTAACTGAACCATATCTTTTATTACGTACTATTCTTATTTAATAATTAAATACGATCTTATTCTCTTCTATCGCTTCAGAATGCGATCATTGCATTTTGTCTGAGTTCTTTTGACAGCCTATTATGCCAGTATAAATAAAGAACATATGGCTCTTTATCTGTAGTCAAGGGAGTTCGTCGAACCACCAAACAAAATCATATTAATTTAGTATTCACTCTTTGAGGGACTTTCCAACGTATAAAAATTGTTGAGTAACTATCATTTAAAAGCTAAGTTTGATGATAAACTAAAGACGTGATGGATTTGAAGTAAAAAGATACTTAGCTCTAGTATTTACACTTCACAATGCACAAAAACCAACAAGAATATGGAAAATATTAAAATTAGAAAGGTATGTAATATTGCAGAAATACTTGTCACATAAATAGAATTACCTGAGTATAATGACGATAAGTAGGATGAAAATTGTGAACTGCATCAACAAGTATATCTGTAGGATCAATAGTTGCCTTGATACTTGCAGATATACTTGGAATTACACTTGAATTCTTCGTATTCCATGTTTTTTCAAACCCACCATTGTTCACTTGTGGATCAACAATATCCCATGGTAATGGTTCAGCACATATTGTTGATGGTGCATAACTGACAAATGTTGCCGGTGTGAAATGTGATGAATTGTCTTTGACTGAATTAAATACCGTTGAGTCTTTCGATGATTTAAAACCCACAGACGGTTTTGTAGCAAACAGAAATTCATCATTAGACCAGAAAGAATCGTTTGAAGGTAAGTCAAAAACAAGGCGAGGTGGATGGCTATATATAGAAAGGATACATACATAAGTGATATCAATTTATTACAGTAACTAAGAGAACCAAGTTAATTCAATCTAATCTGTTGTTGTCGGATCAAGGAGTAAAATAATATTCTGATGTGTAGACGTATTCCTTGATTGAATATTGATTGTTCAAGCTACATGATCACATAAATTTGGTAGTTTTGGGAAATAACATCAGTGAATTTTATTAGAATCTTTTGGTAAATTAGATGTAAAAAACGGGTGATAATTAAAAGACCAATGTATTTAGTATGAGTATAAGTTAGATTTGAAGAGTTTATACTTTGACAAACAATGTACCTTTTAAAACGATCTTAATAGCTATCATTTTTAACTTCGTCTAAACTAATGTAAACTGGTTTACCCTCTAAAAAGGTATGTATTGTAGTCAGGTTCTCAATGGTGGTTTAGCTTAGGTTGACTCGTGAATCCAACTTTCAAAATGTAATTTCGTATGAAACGTGTACATTATCATTATTATCACTATTATGATCAATTTCCTAATTGTTTTTTGATAATTACTATCACTTTCGTTATTTTTCGTATTACGTCATGGTCTCTCCTTCGCTTAATCCGTGCACTTATAAACTGGACTTGCATGAATATGGAAAGTATTTATAATTATTTTTTACTAATGAGCCAAATGACTTTATAAGTGTTATCACACGAAAGTGCGCTTGTTCAATTTATTTATACAAACTTAGAGCACACGAATTGTAATAAATTTACTTCATCCCATAAGGTTAGTTATTCTTATTTGGCAAAAGTCTATCACCGAATCCAACCGTAAGAAGTCGAAGTTTGACGACCGGATAAATCAGAAGACAAACGAACACCACCAAAAATACTTCAAGATTGGGTGTAAGTAGTCAAAGGTTCTTTACCCCGTCTAAATCTTCTTTTTATCTGAGAACTGTTTCGCAAGGCGAATTACTTTTTACAAATTTTAACAGCAAACTAATGATTATTAAGAGTCGCTTCCAGATACAAAATATATATGCATAGTTTTAATATTCAGTATAAATAAACCTCAAACTTACTGTAACACATAAATGCTATAGGGAAATGAATAACGTAGTGCAATTGCAACAATAACCAGTTCAATGCATATTAATAAATTTTTGTAGATACCAGCAATTAACGTTGCTGAATATCCACTTGTCATGTTTATAACATGACTCCATTCTAGAATACTGAATAATACATCTATTAAGTACAGAAAACAAAAACAAAAACTATTTAACATAATCTTAAGAAACCAACTCTTCATTCTTGCTTTAAAAATTATAACTTGAAGGCATAATTTAAATTAGAACTAAGAAGATGGATTTGCTATACAATGTGACATAGCTAAGTCCCGAACTTCATTCTGTTTGTTGTCACAAATCAGAACAGTTAACCAATATTAATTAGCTGGGGTGTATGTTATTCTTTAAGGCATTTAACTTTTAATAATTAGATCACAGACATATTTCACGTCAGCTAGTACAATTGTGTAGCGTTTATAGAAATGTGTGATTTAGAACCTAGGATACAAAAAGGCGTTAATTTACTGAGTTAAATAAATTAAATAAGTAGTGACAACCATGACAATTTAGTGAAGACTGGGAATGTAACATCATAAAATATTTGTTACTCACAATAATAAAAAAACATACATTTATAAAATATGTATGCGTAACATTATCTGCTGAATACTTGGTTTACAGTTACAGATGTTTCGTATACTTTTTTATTTCTTTACGTTTTTAATAAGAGATCAGTGATCTTTCATTAGATATAAATTGAAATTATTACACAGCTTACAATAATATTACTAGATATAAGAATAACTTAACATACCTTGCCAAAAACTAAAAAAGATGATCGATTTAATGGTAGCGAATTTGAGCAATGGTGAGAATGGTTTCAATTGCTCCCGAGTTGCAAAATAAAACAACAATAAACCATAAACAGCAAGAGTTACAGTGGCATTGTTAATCAGGAATAAATACAGATAGCCTGATGTAGGACTGAAAGTAATAAAGTAGAAATATGTACACGTATATCATAATCTGTGTTTTCGAACTAATTATTTAGAAGAATACAAAGTCCGTGAGGGGAAATCACACGGTCAACCTTTATTACTTGGTAGGAATAAATAAGTAACTAAATAATTGCTGAGATGTAAGTGTTACAGAAATCAATTTACATTATTTGAAAGCTGAAGCAACTTCAGAGGATGAATATAGAGACTGGATTTGAACCTTAAAACTAATAATTGTGGATCGTGATGGCATGTTTTTTTATAAATAATAGGTTTTTAATTGCAACATTCACAAAATAACTTTGAGAAAGAAATTGTTATGGTAGAATTTGACAGAATATATACGAATGAAATAACAGTACTAATACAAAATATTCTGTTTGTAACACGGAGACAACACAATGAGGTATTTATTCTGAGGAAACAAAATTAACTGTCATAAAACTGAAAACGGGACACTTAAGTTAAAGGCATGACTAGCAATACAGTATTTGTAATATATGAAGATTTGACACATAAAATTCTGCGATTGTGACAAAACAATCACACCGTACTATGTACTGATCCATTCTCATAACTATTATTACTAGAAAATTACTAAGACAAAAATAGCATAACTACATCGATTAAGTTATTCTTGGTGAATTCTACAACGGCGAGTGATAACAGGAAGGCTCAAATGTTTAAAAAAGATAACAGTGTGAACTGAGTCTGTCTTTAACAAACTAAACTGAAATAACTACCATATCCACCAGCTTGAGAAAGTTCATACTTTATTGAAGAATAAGACGAATCCACTAAACATTAACACTTGTTGATAGACATGCTTTACCAGTGCTTTGTACTATGTACCATGATACTACATCACTTACTATTAGGTGATTGAATATTATTTAGTTGGAGTTTCTCCACTTACCCAAAGTCACCAACGATATACTTCTTTGTAGCCATTAGTATCATAGACGTGAATGAAGTAATTGGTTTGATCAAAGTATACTGAAGAGTAGCCTTCAAATAAAAATTTCAGAATAAAAACAAATATACAATATATACAAGCATATATCTGGATAGCACAGTCTAACAAAAAAATCTGAATTCATAAACAAAACAAACTCCAGTTTATGAAATATATAAATTATTTAATTGTATCATAAACTTAATACTGTTATTTATCTTCCCAATATAATACACTAAATAGGACTTTACGATCAAGATATGGCAATATTTTTCCAGCTTATTACAACTTGGGGAATTTGTTTAGAATGAAACCATGATGTCCCAATGATAGTAAATAATAAGTTTTGACGTTCTATGATCTAGTGTTAGTCGCATATTCAGAATAAAAATAATTTATACACGTTAATAACCAAAATTTTTATTGATAAGGTTCTAACAATGATAATATTGTTACTACAAACCAGATGAGATAGTGCAAAATTTAAGTGCATAAGTGTAATATAGAGGACAAACAATTACTGAATGACACTTCAGCAAATTTTCCTATTTTCCAATAACCAAGCCTTTAAACCACAAAGATACCAGAAGGAATTTAATATTAGAAGGTAAATTGTCTAGTTAAATACCTAATTCCTAACATTTCGATAAATATTGCGTCTGCATTGGAGTTTTAAGCGACTCGATAGTGTCGCAAAAAGTGGGAGTTAAACTAACATCATCATCATCAGATAGAAGTTTGTGCTGATGATGTCGTTCAGAAGAACGATGAAAGCTTCACGACCAAACCATCCAGCTCAGAGAACAAAACTCCACCAAAATCATCCACCTGAGCTACAAATCTTCTCCACCATCTTAACATCATACTGGCATAGATTTAAAACTAACGAAAATATTCATACGACATTTCGTTGCACGATGACCAAAAACATGGGAATAGTCAACGTCTATATGAGATATCTACACAAACAAACCTACAGACTCCCAACTAGAGCTGTATTTCTTGACCATAAGACAGCGTTCGGTTCCGAAGACCGAGAGTTCTTGTGGCAGTATTTGTCACTGAAAGGCTTACTAAACAGGTACATCAACCTTCAACAGGCTCTCTACTCGAATACCAGGAGTCAGATTAGAGCTTGTGACTAAATGATTTTCGAAATGTTAACGCTAAGCAGTTTCCCTAAGGGTTGACAGTTGTTTACTCCTTTAATTCATTCTGTCATAGATGTCCTCCAAGAAACAACGCTTTACCTAAACTCTCAGGGGTTGAACTCGTACCACGTTACTCACTTTTCGACTTACAATACACAGATGGCATAGTCCTGTTTGGCGGAGGCACTGACAAGATTCAATCCTCGGATCACCTTGAGCAACAATGCAACCATATTTGAAATGTTTATCCGAACACAAGATATTGCTTCAGAATTGGTCTGCACCAACACCTAAGGTGATGATGAAAAGTGTAGTAGTTGAGGGCATTGAACACTTCACTTATCTTGAAGGTTTCATTAGCCCCGATGGGTTGGTGCATGGTGAAATATCGACACATTCAGAAAGCTTGGTCAGCTTCTGCAAACTTGCATCACTTGTGAAGTAAACGATACATAGATCTATCAACTAAAGGGCAAGTATACTGGGTAGCAGTTTATCCTGTTCTTTATGACTGAAATGTAGCATTTAACAATAGATATCCTTGTGTTACTAGCATTCGAAGTAATGGTTGTGGGTGAAAGAACTACTGAACCAACAATCCTGAAATTAGAAGCGGGGTGCTGTTAACGGGTGGCAAACCGGTTTATCACGTCATGAATCACTGTCGACGGTGCGCAACGACACCTGATGTAGAAAAAGGCTGAAAGCCAAAGATGCCCAAAGCGAAACATGGCATCAGTTCATGTAGTCAGTAACAAATGGATTGAGCCATGTAGGTAAGTGCAGATCACCTGATTGGGGTTCATAAGATTATCGTAACCCGTGTTTGGAGACTTGAAGTGGTATGGATCAGAACCTGGTGACTCAGTTACAATCACTGTCTTTTCTTAAGTCCCAAGCCTCGAAACTATTTTATAACTTTTGGATTCCACGATTCCATGTTTTTTTCTCCAATGTCCTTCATGTCTAAACTTTTCTAGTACCCCTAATACCGTTACTATTTGTATCAATCTGGCGTCCAACCAAGCCGATGTGGTGTGGAGAATTGAATTAATTTGAACATGCGTCAGGTTGCGTAAGACATAGAAAATGAATATACGAGGAAAAAGTACGTAAATTCATGGACTGAAATGAAGGTAAGTAACGTGCTATATGAAGTAGGGGATAATTATCTGATTATTTAGAATGATCTGGCAAGGACATCATCTGTAAAAGACGAACTAAATGGACGAAATTTTTGAATAAAGTACACGGTCATTCTCTGTCGTGGCTATCCTGATCAAAACTTGTGGCTATAAAAAGGAAGCCAACAGCTTATCCCAGCCAAACGGATTTCGTGTATAAATTCATTAAAGGTGTCTATCTACACAAAAGAATGAGGAGTGAGACTTATTTTAAGACATATGAAAGTATAGATAAATACTTTAATTACACAAGAAAACAAAAACCAAAGTAAACGTAACAAGCTTATAGATTAAGGAACATAAAGAGCAACAGATAGGAACGGACTTAGTATATAGGACTCTAAGAAACTGAGACCGAAAACTGTGTTGATTCAACAACTATTCAGGCAGTTTGATACCGTCGGCCTAGCATGATATCAAATAAATGGCAAAAATTGACTAAGAATACAGTTCCCAATAAATGGCACCTATAACTAAAGATTGGTTCTTCAGGTCTTATATACATAGTATTGCATGAATTTAAACCGTCTGAGAAGGCTAGGACGACTTTTTGATAATCTTCCCCTAATTATACACAATTATCACATTATTTTTAGAACTAACCAGAAGAATGGTATGTCATAACACTTACTATTTTGCAAAACCGTAGAAACAATATAGTGTATGGTTTTCCAGCGAAGCAGCATGTACTATAAAGTAAACTGAAACTAAAACGCTCAGTCTAATGATCCTGGTAATTACTTGATCGTTTTTCCAGTAAGCTCTAACATAATATTACCTTCCCCTCCAAGATACTGATAACACAAAGCTAAAAAACTGTAAATCGCAAATGCTGGGGAGTTAGCAACTAGATGAACCAACTACCTTCTGCAATGTCGTGTATAAAGTCGATGTATATACTGTCCACCATCGCATATATAGCAAGCAAAACGCTTAGAAATGAATAGATGGCATAGGCGGGCACTAAAATCAACACTCGTATAATATATCGTTGTTCAGAAACACAGGTGTAATTTTTGAGGTGAAAGTACATCTACAGCAGTTGAAAGTGAATCAAATGGATTACTTGATGAAATGTAATCACGGATGACAACAGTGCACATAAACAAGCAATTATTTGAGCATATGCAGAAGTAGCAAATAAGTATTTTTCACTGATTGTTAGATTCGGTAAGATACTTGTTGTGTTTACAAGCTCTGAAGAACTATTATTCATGGTATTCCATATGATTGTTCAGTTCGTCAAGGTCAATCGGGATGTGCTCCAAGGCTATTCAATGTAATCCAACATATTTATGACAAGGTTACTTAAACCAGTTCATTTTCTCCTTTTCATCTTTATGGCAAAAAGATGATGAAAATATTAGTGATTTTATATCAGCCTTAGGCTACGACTAGATGCCCAAAATAAATCGACTTGTAAGTATACTGTAGCGGTAAATCCCCAAAATAAATAGCTCTGTAAGTTTTCGACATTGGATGCTGACCATATGTTTCAGTGGACTCATCTAACTGAAGTCGCTCGGTCAGGCATCCGCACCAGATCACGTGTGCTAACGCCGTGCTCAACATCAACCGCAATCGCTAGCCAGATTAGATCAGAGAATTCCGATATATTGGTCATCGCCAAATATACTCTTCCGATCTCCTCGACTCTGTCTTTTGATTTCTCTGGGTGGGAACGAAATATATTAGAAGGTGTTACTGGTAAAGGCGTTGTCAAACACTGAATACCTGTGGCATCATCATTGGTGAGACCGACGTGATCTGGTACACCTAATTGCAACTGTGAGTCTGTTCCTTTTTGGGATTTTTATATATCATTGCCTTATTTTTTTATTTTTTTTTAAACATTGTGATTTTTTTCGTAATTTTTCTTGGACATATATATATTTTCCCCTCGTTCATTATCGTACTTCATACTTCATCATGACTGAACAGACACCTAAAGTACTCAAGCTTAAGACTTTGTCCCCGCCTTCGTTTCAACTCATGCCTTTCTGGCCCGACAACATAGAAGCCTGGTTTTGCTACGCAGAAGCCGACTTCTCCCAGCACGGCGTGATCGACAACGTGCACAATTTCTCGCAGTAGTCAAGGCACTACCGCGCGAATTCAACAGGTACGTAACACCTAGTATGTTTACTAGTGATGTTTCCGATCCTTACGAAATCTTAAAACACTCGATTCTTAAACGAGGAGACCTAACCGATCGACAAAGGTTAGATCAACTCTTCAACAATATCGACCTGCAACACGGTTCTGCGACAGACATGTTGCAACGGATGAGAGAGGTTATAGGCCCAAGAACTTTCGACGAAGGTCTATTCAAACAACTCTTCTTGTCAAAACTTCCCCAACAGGTGCAAGCAGTCCTGGTCTCGTTACAGAACAACGCCTTAGAAGAGCTAGTTGCATCTGCCGACCGCATTTTAGGAATTACGAAACCTCCTACTACCGAGGTATTTTCAGTCAAAGAAAAACCTCAAACGACTCAGAATGATATAACCGACTTATGTCACACACTCACGCGTTATCTTAGTCTTCGTACCGACCGTAAGAGATCGCGCACACCATGTAGAAGCATTTCTCGTAAGCGATCTGTCTCTAGACCACGAGAGACAGATAACCCCGACTGGTGCTGGTATCATAACCAGTATGGAAATTCTTCCAGAAATTGCAGAAAACCCTGCAATTTCCCCAACACGAAACCGACTGATTCGAAAAGCAATTCGGGAAACTTCCAAGCCGGCACGCGTTAACGGCAACCGTAGCCGGCGAACATAGCCGTTTGTTATACGTCACGGATGTGACAACGAGAGTTCGCTACCTCGTCGACACTGGCGCAGAAGTTAGCGTTCTCCCAGCAAATCCTAACGACCGACTACACGAATCGACCCTAAACTTACAGGCGGCAAACGGAAAACCGATCGCTACGTATGGCAAAAGGTACGTTTACCTTAACGTGGGTTTACGCAAACCCATTCACTGGATTTTCGTTGTTGCAGATGTTTCTATCCCAATCATTGGTATGGACCTTCTACAACACCATAATCTGACCATCGACACTCGCAAACGGAGGCTAGTAGACGGAAACACTAATTTGTCCGTTTGCGTAACTTCCTTTACTGGTTGTAGAGTATCCCCAGTCACAGTTAAACATATGATAGACCCACTTTATCAACCACTACTCGATAAGTACCCTGAGATACAACAAACTCAAACGAAATTACCGTGTGCAACCAGCAATGTTACACATCACATCACGACTACAGGATCACCTGTATTCTCTAAAGCACGACGACTAGCTCCTGAAAAGCTAAGGTTAGCGAAAAACGAATTCGATCACATGATAGATTTAGGAATCATACGACCGTCAAATAGCCCATATGCATCTCCGTTGCACATGGTCCCTAAAAAGGACAGCAACGATTGGCGTCCAACTGGTGACTATCGGCGATTGAACGCAAAAACCATTCCCGATCGTTACCCGTTGCCTCACATTCACGATTTGACAGCTACCTTGAAAGGTACAACTGTCTTTTCGAAAATCGACTTGGTTAAAGCGTATCACCAAATACCTATGGCTACTGACGACATACCGAAAACAGCTATCATAACTCCTTTCGGACTCTATGAATTTTTGCGAATGCCTTTCAGTCTAAGGAACGCTGCTCAAACATTCCAAAGATTCATAGACGACGTCTTTCGAGGTCTCAACTTCGTACACGCGTATGTTGATGACTGTCTAATCGCAAGTCCGGACAGAGAATCACATCTCAAGCATCTGGACCTTGTTTTCGGACGACTACAAAAACATGGCATTACTGTAAACGTTCAGAAATGCCAATTCGGAACCGACTCATTAGATTTTCTGGGACACACTATCGATGCTCAAGGTATCCGACCCCTTAGAACCAAAGTGGCGGCCATTCTGAATTACCCAGAACCGACCACCGTCAAGCAATCACGCACGTTTAACGGCCTCGTAAGTTTCTATAGACGTTTCATACCGAAATGCGCATTACTCATGAAACCTCTGACCGACCAACTTCGTGGAAATGCGAAATCCATTAATTTGGACGACACCGCACGAAAAACATTCTCCACAGTTAAGGAACTGATTGCTAAAGCAACAATGCTCGCACATCAGGACACCCGAGCACCCATTAGCATTGCAGTTGACGCATCCGACTCGGCAATCAGAGGAGTCTTACAACAATGGGTTAACAACTCATGGCAACCCTTGGCATTTTTCTCTAGAAGGTTGCTAGACACCGAATCGAGGTACAGCACATTCGGTAGGGAACTCCTAGCTATGTATTGTGCTGTACGGCATTTTCAACACTACATCGAAGGTCGTGAATTCACTCTTTTCACGGACCATAAACCGCTCACTTTCTCGTTAAGCTCTCCTTCTGACAAGTACTCTCCCCGTGAGTCTCGACAACTGGACTACATTTCGCAGTTTACTTCAGACATTCAACACATCTCTGGAGCAAACAATGTAGTTGCAGACGCTTTATCTCGCATAACTTCCCTGAACAGTTTCCAAGGAATCGACCTTCTTAAACTCGCCGAGCTTCAAAAAGAAGACAGTGATCTTCAGCACGAGTTATCGTCCACAACCCTTAAACTACGCATCAAACAGATGGGAACAGGTAAGGAAACCTTACTTTGTGACACATCTACAGGTAGGGATCGCCCAATCGTGCCGAAACATTATCGACGCAATGTCTTCAACACATTGCACAAACTTTCGCATCCAGGTGTTTGTGCAACCATCAAGCTTATAGCAGGAAGGTTTTGCTGGCCTGGAATGAATAAAGACGTGAGGGAGTGGGCACGCTCCTGTGTAAGCTGCCAAAAATCTAAGGTTATCAGACACAATAAATGTCCCCTAGGCTCGTTTAAAACTCCCGATGCTCGTTTCGACCATGTTCATCTAGATTTGGTAGGACCTTTACCAGATTCAAATGGATACTCTTATCCCTTAACCTGCGTAGACCGTTTCACTCGATGGCCAGAAGCAGTACCTATCAAGGACATCACTGCTGAAACAGTGGCCCGCGCCTTCGTCGAACGATGGGAAGCAAACTTCGGTTGCCCTTCAACCATCACTACAGACCGCGGACGTCAGTTTGAATCCGATCTTTTCCGTCGTCTGACCGCCTACCATCCACAAGCAAACGGGTTGGTAGAACGTTTTCACCGACAACTAAAAGCTTCACTATCAGCTCCAAACGTTTCACAGTGGACCGACGCTCTTCCACTTGTCTTACTAGGTATCCGCAATGTAGTGAAAGCTGACACTGGATACACTGTGGCTCAACTCGTTTATGGAACGACACTTCGACTTCCAGGAGAATTCGTGGATCCTTCACCCTCTTCAATGAACATGGATCTAACCTCCTACATGAACAGGCTTACAAACGCAATGCGTTCAGTTAAACCTGCTTCCACTCGACCTCAATCAACTGATGTTTTCGTTCAACCTGACTTACGATATAGTACACACGTTTTCGTTCGTCGAGGCTCGCATCGACGACCATTCGAATCAGCATATGAAGGACCCTTCAAAGTTCTTCAACGCGAACCGAAGTACTATATAGTCGATAAGAACGGAACCAACGATAGCATCAGCATCGATCGCCTCAAAGCAGCGTATTTAGAAGGAAATCCTATCTACGTCGATTTTCCTTCGGTACAATCGAACGACACGACTCCACTCATAATTCCTCAACCGACAACCAACACTAGCGATGATACTCCGAATGTATCTGAAAATAAACCTAAAACGACGCGTTCTGGAAGAAGAGTAAGATTTCCAGAACATTTAAACGACTATTGCACGTAAGGCACTTCTCGACATTTTATATTATTTTTTTTTTAAAAAGCAACTTTAATATGCTTATATATATTTATTTCTATTTAAAAAAACAAAACAAAAAAACAATTTTTTTAACGCTATTACGTGTTCATGAGTTTATTTTCCATTTTTTTCCGCCGACATTGTGTTTTTACGCACATACGAGTGTATTTTCGACATGCACTTACATTTTCTTTTTTCTTTTCCAGGACGGCTGGAAAAGAACGATGACGTTTATGAGGATCCGAAATTTTCATCGTACATTTTCTTTTTTTACTATGTTGTACCTCGGTCTCATATAGTAAGGAAAGACGATCAGACGCTGCTACACTTAGTAAGCTATCAGA